GCTTGGTATAGTAAAAGATATGCTTCGAAAGGATAACGAGCTTCCAAAGAGCACATACGAGGCAAAAAAGATTTTGTGTCCAATGGGAATGAGGTATTAAAAAATCCACGCGTGCTCTAATGACTATGTGCTATTTAGAAACGAGTACAAAGATTTGTAGGCATGTCCCGGAGTGAGAGAAGTGAGAGCTAGATAGAGAAAGTGTTAGTGATTAATATTTCTCAACCCCTACAACTACCCCTATGAGAGTATTTATAGAGAAAATGTGGGTTGAGCTCCCAAGACTTGGACCTGGATGATCGTATACAAAACAAGGCCTCTAATGGGCTGATTACACAATATATTAGAGCTAAGTATAAAATATAATTTGCTGGAGCTAAGTTGGATGAAGAGGGGTCTGACCGATGGAGGACCACTCTTTTGCTCTTGGGCTTCTGGACTACATTCTGACATCCAGTGAGTTTGGCCAATCCGATAAGTCCGTATTTAGACACACATTTGATGCATGTTAAGACTGACTTTTGATCGTTTTCCTAACTTAAAGGTTTCATAAGTCTCATTTTTAGCTCAAGTCATATTTTACCGGGCGTTTGTTCGTGTTTGGTATTTTTGGAGTCAAAATCAGGGAATTAAACTCAACACTGGCGTGTGAGAAGTAATCGAGAGATTTGAGGCGTATTTCAGATTTTTTTAAGAGTATTGGACGTCAATGAGGTGTTAAAGATGAAGTTTTGAAGATAAAAGAGCTCTAGGATCGAGTACAAGATCAAAAGAAGACGAATAGAGCTTGAAAACGGCGATCAGGATGACGTTCTGACAATCGTTCAAGCATATCTTTTTGTAGAAACATACAAAGTGCATGACTCAAGTTCCAGATGAACGCTAAATTCAAGGGATACAAATCATATGATGACACCATGACAAGGATCGGAGGGGAGCAAGGTGAAAATTGACGAGAAGTCAGATAATCGTTGTTGAGATTTCAGGGTGCGACCTTCTACCATTTTATTCACATCGTTTGATTGGATGATCCAAATCCAGTTTTGCAAGTTGTTATGGATAGAAGACTTCATTAGCTACAACTTTGGTGAAGAAACCATAGTCAAATTTGCACGGGAAAGGCGCACACCGTGCACCCAAAGACAGGCACGCCATGTCGCCATGCCCGTGAGAGGATCGTCCTGAGAGCTACTGCCGGGTAGTCAGGGCAGGCACGCCATGCCCCGACATTTTTCAGCCCCCAGGTGTCCTAATTAGGCCCGAATTCATCCGTTTTCTTTATTTAAAGCCCCCAACCCCCCATTTATGAGGGGGGCTTAGAGAGAAGTCTAAGGACGACTTTATACGTGTTTTCTGCATTGTTCTTCAACACCCTGAGATTATTTGTAAGTTCCAACTTTTTAGTTAATGACAATTAATTCTTTTCATCCCAATTCTATTGTTGATTCAATTATGAGTTGTGAGTAGTTTTAATTAGGGATTTGAGGTTGATGAATGAGTTGATCATGATGTATGGCTAGTTCTTGATGCATTAATTGCAAGAATCTTGATTTAATTTGTGTTTGAATGATTCAATTGATATCCCTTGTAATCTAGAATGGCTACTAGGATTATAATTGATTGTAGAATAAATTGAAAGATATCTAATTTATTCTAGGACACCTTCACACACACACATTTAATCGTTCGTTAAGAGATTAGTAACGATTAAGGGGCCGTACACTCGCTCGTTTTGGCAATAATTTTAGATACTTGTCGCATGAGAGATCAGCTTGGTTCCCTAAATTATTGTACTCTATACCGCAAGAGCGGATAGAGCTTAGTGTTGATTTGTGTTGCTCAATTAAATAATTTAATGTGATTGAGTCTGATCAGCCATAAATCTGATTACCCCGGAGTCAATCCATGTTCCCTTCTAGAATTAATTAGAAATAACCCATTTATTTTAATCGTTTATTCACAATTTAATTTTTTCAACAAATCAAACCTCGCACCATTTCATTTAATTTTTATTTTATTTTATAGCTGATTTTATTTTATTCTTAAATTCCTTTTTCTGTCCTTGTGGAGAAAATACTCGTACGTTAGCCCTATATTGCTACATATTTTAATTGCGGAAGAATTCACATAAGTTTTTGGCGCCGTTGCCGGGGACGATGTCGGTTTTAAGAGTTAATTAATTTCAGCAATTTTTTAGGTTTTTCGTAGGAATTTTCTGTGCTAAACTTTCAGGTACTTTTTTTTAAAGAGGCATGAGATGGACCAATTCAGCTCAATTCGAGGAACACATTAGGCTCAAACCTCCACGGAATATTCACCATATATGTCCTATGCTCCTTACATTCCTCATCACCATTATTCTCCTCATCAATATTACTCTCATACACCACAAAATATTCCGTCTTCTTATTCTAACCCCCCCCCCCCCCCCAACTATGCAACATTTCCAATCCCATTCTTCTCATTATTATCCTTCGTCACAATATCCTTGAGTAAGCGCAAGACCATACTCTATTCTTGAATATCTTCTCCAATCTAAAACTCCAGAGGAATTGTCTGAATACTTTCCTAATGAATAGCATTTGTTCCTTCTGTGGAGGATGTCACAATTTATGTCTTTGCCCTGTTAAACCTCCATATGACCATCCTTACTAGGCAATCACATACTCTTCTTCTTCCTCCCCAAAATTTACAAACACAAATGTTTTAGCCACTTCTACATCCGTGTCGAGTAATGAGCCACAAAATCAATTGGAGGAAACAATGTCAGATGGGGGAGCTTAGAGAAAGGCCTAGGGGCGTGTTTACATCTATTTTTCTGCATTGTTCTTCAATTCCCTGGAATTATTTGTAAGTTCCAACTTTTTAGTTAATGACAATCAATTCTTTTCATCACAATTCTATTGTTGATTCAATTATGAGTTATGAGTAGTTTTAATTAGGGATTTGGGATTGATGAAAGGCTTGATGATGATGTATGGCTAGTTTCTTGATGGTTTAATTGCATGAATCATTACTTAATTTGTGTTTGAATGATTGAATTGATATCTCTTGTAACCTAGAATGACCACTACAATTATAATTGCATGTAGAATAAATTAAGAGGGATCTCATTTATTCTAGGACACCTTCTCACACTTAATCATTCGCTAAGAGATTAGTAACGATTAAGGGGTCGTACGCTCGCTCGTTTTGGCAATAATTTAGATACCTGTCGCATGAGAGATCAACCTGGTTCTCTAAATTATTGTACTCTACGCCGCGAGAGCGGTTAGAACTTAGTATTGATTTGCGTTGCTCAATTAATTAATTTTCATGTGATTAAGCCTGATCGGCCAGAAATCTGATTACCCCAAAGTCAATCCATGTTCTCTTCGTCATTAATTAGAAAGAAGTCAAGAACCCATTTATTTTTTATCGTTTTTTGCAATTTTATTTTCCAATCAAATCAAATATCGCACATTGCATTTATTTTATTTAGTTTTAATCGCTGAATTTGGTTAATACTTAATTCCCTTTTGTCCGTTAATGTGGAGACGATACTCATACTTGCATCCTATTCTACTACGTAATTTTAAGTGCGAGAAAACTCACATTAGTTTTTTACGCCGTTGTCGGGGACGCATTTGAGAGTTTATTAGGAGCATTTGAAGTCAATGAGGTCTTTGTACTTGTCTTTTGAGTACATGGGCCATAGGATATGAGCTCATATACTTTATCAGAAAGCAAGAAAGATTTTTTTACATGTGTATAGGGGGAGAACCGTAGAAGAACCAGAAGGAGAGAGAAAGAAGAAAGAAATAGGATAAAACAAAAAGGAGAAAGAAAATAGTTGACGAGTGGTCCTCCGCGTGGCTGCCATGCATGCAGTCATGGCAAGCTTGGTGAAATACCAACTAAGAGATTGTCTACTTTCGACCGAATAGATTCAATAAGCAGTGACTTAATCGTTCAATCATTAATCATTTAATGACATAATCATTCAGTCAAAATGGTGCATTAATCATTACGCTGGAAAGTAATAGTCACTTCTATTAAAATGTCTATTAAGACGTCTTTTTTGTCAACTTTTTAAATCGACAGTGGAATATATTTGTATTAATAAACTTTGTCATTGACATTATAACATAAGAATAATATTTAATTGATTATGTTATTCAATTGAGTCTGCATTCATCACACAAAATAAACAACCTCATACACAAACACCACTTAATTATTGAGACATACTCCCTTCGCATTTAAAAGTTTGATACACTTTCCTATTTGGGATGCATTTAAAAGTTTGCTACACTTTCCCTTTTTGGTATGTTTTTTTAACAATACCGAATTACCCTTACTTTTTCTACTTTTTATCTTTTCTTTCCTACCTTTTCACTTTTTCTCCTATTGTTTCTACATTATTCATTACTTTTACTATTTTTCCCTTAAATATTGTGCTAAGATCTAATGTAGTGATCTTTTAAATATAGAGGAAATACATTTTAATTCAGACAAAATGTTAATAGTAGTTTAACAAAGTATAAAACAGTTTAAACGTTAGAGTTTTATTCCGAATTAATGCTAATTAATTAATTAATTACGAAAATAATGATGGGTTAAAAGTATTTACCGATCTATTGCTGGTTTTAACCATGGTTGGGGTAAGTCGCCAAACGGTTGAGCGACTTATAAGTCGCCATTCGGTTTGGCAACTTATAAGTCGCCATTCGTTTTGGCGACTTATAAGTCGCCCAACCGTTTGGTGACTTACCCCTGACTCCGGATTTCCTACATTCAGTCCGACTTCACCTGTTTCCTATAAACAAGGTTTCCTTTCTCCTATTTAGGGGTTACGAACCAGATACAACACATTACGAAACATACAACACACCTGCTCACAAACACATACATAACACCTTCTCTCTAGAACATACAAAACACCGCATACATACCCTTCACAAATAAGATACAAACTAGTAGATTCATGACCAGTAAAACACAGTACAATAATCCAATATTCATAACACAGTAGTCATCTAATATTCATAATCGAACACATCAACACATCATAAAAGAGGTTACAGGTGGAAATACATAAAATAAAGTCAATTCATCCTACAACATATAGTGTACAAGAAAAACTCCATTACAAAAAACAAACTACAAGTTTTCATGGTATTCTTGATCGTCTTGGTCATAGAGATGTTGCTGCCTATGCCTACGCCGCTGGAGTGGTTGATGAACCACTCTCTCATGCTGAGTCTGGGATGATGAAGCTGTCGCTGCACTAAATGTCGATGGCATATCCTGAGATGGGGGCATATGTATAAGATGACCGTAGTTGACTCGCCCCAACAAATCTGAACACAACGAGACGATGCCCGTCAAAGCCCGACCGTACATGTCCACGTCATGCGTATCACTCACTGTGATAGTAGCCCGCTGATGTATACGCTGCAAAGCTCGTGTCTGAAATATGAAACACAATTACAATTAGTTAGAAATAAATAAAAGTGTTAAATAAAGAAAATGACTTACTTTAGTAATTAGTAATATACTCACCGTCAGATGCAAAGCCAAGGAACTAGGTTGATAATGGTGAGTAGGGAGTCTGAATGAAGGAGACACAAACAAATGAGTGATGTTGTAATACCATCCCATGTAGTCTCCCGAAACAGATGGGACTAATGTCAGTGTCCCAGTCACAACAAGCGTAGCTCGCCTCTCCCACACAGTGACATATTGGACATGTTTGAGTGCCCAATATTCCGTATGCTTCCCACGCCTATCCAACCTATGAGAGTCTACATATGTGTTGATAGGTGCTGGAATGACCTGCTCATACCCAAACTGTCGCAATACACGATCAGGCAAATGAAGCTCAACAACGTCAAAACATATCAACGACACGCGTGTTCACCATATGTGAGAATGCTCTCGTCCAGCGGGGGTAACTCTGCAAACATCTCAGCTGTATACGGCATCCATGTAATCTGTTTCATAAAGATACAAAATTAGTATTTCTGTTATACATATTATAGTTAATGTTATATTACGCACACCATACCTGATCATCAGACATCCGATCAAATGCATCCATGTACACTCCGAGCCCAGAAGCCGATGATGTGCGACATAGATCAGCAAATAGCCATCTAACCATTCATGTAGCATATATTAATATGAATATTGTTAATATATTTATATTCAACATACAATAACATAAATTCAAACGATTGAAAACATATCGACGGCCCAGAGGGTCGTCACCCCGTAAATGATGTGGTCCCAGGAGACGTGGAGGCTCATCAGGCAGTGGGTGTCTATCAATGCCATGACATGCCACTATAATGGGACACCCGATGTGGACGTACTCCCATGACCAAATCTAGAGAAGAAGCAAAAATCCTCCAACCTCTGTGCTCCCTCTATGGCAGCCGCGACACAGCTGTCTGTAGAGATAAGCCAGTGTGGCACTACCCCAACTGAACTGTGCTGCTACATCAAACCTCTCTAGCATAGGCAAGTGCAGCACTTGAACCTCATTTACGCTATTGTCATCGAAAATGGAAGCTCCCATCATCATCAAAATATATGCTCGTGCATGTTGCTGTATCATCACCTCATCAGCGTCCACGTGAAGAAAAACGAAATGCTCCCTCAGTCATGGCATCCTCAGAGATGACCCCTGAAGGTCAGCCTGAAGTGTTACAATCACCCCCACTTAGGAACGCAACGTCCTCGTTGCCCATAAACCAATCTCAAATCTCAATCAAATACCAGAATCCTCCTCTGCTAACTGCCCGCCCAATATCTAACGGGTCAGCACACTGTCGCAGGGTTGCTCTGATACCATTTGTAACACCTCGGCCCCGAGGTAGTTATTTCTGACCTCTAGTACTGTCCTCACAAACCGCCACTAGCCTTTTCCGCACACTTTTTGCTCACTCGTGCGCGCCCTGAGAAACTTCCCAGAGGGTCACCCATCCCAAGACTACTCTCATGCAAGCACGTTTAACTTTGGAGTTCTTGACTAATGAGCTCCCTTAAAAGGAGATGCACCTTGTTGGTATGAGTAGTACTATTAATCCATTTAAATTAAATCTCAAGTGTTACATGCGATGTTAGGACAGAACGATCACTCGGCCCAGGATCCGCTGATACCTCCATGCCTACAAAAAGAAAAAGGATATTAGTTAATTTTCACTGTTGTATTAATTTATTTTTTTAATTAATATCTTACTAATAATTTTTTTTCATGCACCGTTAGTATCGATTGTGGAGTATTATAATTAGAACCTTACCCAGTGGACCCCCCTCCACCTCTTGATGATCTTATAGTTAGAATAAGATTCTAGTTTATAATAAAATGTTTGATACCCATTTTGTTGTTGTGGCACACCATGAACCATCTCAAGGCTAAATGACTTCACAACTTTAAGATTAACTTTGTTGCCACAACCTTTGAAGCAGGAAAGAACAATCGGAAGACAGTGAATCAGCCCATGCATTTCTGTAATACCCCAAAAGTACTTAATTTATATTTCTCAACTACCATATATATAATATCTTCTCAAAATCACATACACAAAATTCACAATTCACATTTAATCACATAATGCATAATAAGCATATAATACGAGGAAACAATTTTGGATTGGCAGAGAAACTTACCTTAAGTCCTGATGCTCCTAATTCTCTTTCTCAAATCCGGTCTCTAAATATTCACCTTTTTAATTAAGATGATATAATTAGTCACTTATTCTATTAATAATTTACCCGATTTTTCTCTTTCACTTTGATATTCGAATTTATTAATATAATTAGTTATTCGAGTTTATTTTATCTCTTAATCACTTCTTATTAGTGAAATCACTTTATTACTTTAGCCATGATTTCTTTTATTGGAATACTTTAATTATATTATAATAACCGCAATGCATTTAATTAATCAACTTTTTAATTTATTAATCACCATTAATTTATTCTACCTATAAAACATCCAATTAATTTACTATATTTTAATATTGTTAAGATATATGGATTATAACATATTCAAATTACTTCAATTATAGCTTATTACAAATATGTTCGTACTTAATAACTATCTCATGCGATAGTATTATTTAAGCTATTTAAACTAATTCGGTAATTAATACAATAATCCTTTATTAATTTTAATCTAGTCCGATAATAAAAAGGTATTAAATAATTAACTAGCTCAATTAATCATAATTTTGTTTTTATTATTGACACCTATATTATTAATCCAATAATTTAGTTAATAATCCGAATTATATTAGAATGTTCAGATTTCATAATTACCTTAATCAACATTATTAGTAAATCTGGATATTCTAGCAATTATCTAAATTAACTAATCATCATTAACTAAACCTGATTTTATTAATCTACTCAACATTTTTTTTGAGTCTGTATTTTAATTTTTATGAATCTACTTCAGTTAATCCGATAATTAGTGAAAATAATACCTATCCAAATTTGTTTAATCTGATTATGGTATTAAGTCCAAATGACTAGTTATTATTTTAATATAATGTACGTATGTTAGTTTTTATTAATTACTCATCAATTCGTTTTAGCATTATGTAATTAAGTTATCTAACTATTAACAAATCTATCTAAGTGATTACTATCAATCAACCAAGCCAACTTCATCATTAATATTTCTCATCTCAAATTTATCAATTTTGCAGATTATTATTATTATTATTATTATTATTATTACGATAGTATTATTGATGTTGTTGATGTCGTTTGTGATATAACAATAGAGTTCACTTCTTTAGTTTAATATGTAGTAGCCTAGATTAAGGTTAAAAGTAGATCGGCCCAACTGTAAGATAAAATTAGTAGCATTTCAGCCGTAATTATATATCGCAGTGTTTATCTTCTACACCTAGTCACCGGAAATGAAGGAAACGCAGAGGACGTCGGCTTACCTCACCAAAGACGGACGAGCGGAACGACGTCGGTAGAGGAGTTTTCCGGCAAGGCAGCAGTGGACTGGTTGCAGTTGCAGTTCCGTCTCACCCTCCGTTTCTAGATGTGAAAATCAGCCTGGCAAACTCCGGCGAACAACTCCCTCTCCTAGCGATTGTTTCTCTCTTACTCACTTTTATTTTCTTTCTAAATTTTGTGGTATATGCGTGTGTATAACTGTATACCAAACGCTGGTTTGTGAGAGAGAGAAATTGAGGAGGCTATTTATAGCGATAAACGGAGGATTCGAGGCTACGATGAGTGTCTTGAGTGAGTTGGAAATCTTGGCTTCTTGTTAGTCATGCATGTGCGTATGCTATATGCATTATATAAAGTATATATTATTACAACTCCTTTCTTATGTGTATTTTTGGCATTTTGGGAACGGCTTAGGCTTACGCAGGTGGGTTTGCTAGTCGTTGGTCCAGCACATACGTAACTTGATATTTATTGTTTGAGGGAGTATGTATTATTGTTATATCTATCATTGCTATATACTCGTAAGTATATACGGAGCAATTGGCAATGCAGGTTTATATGCATATTATTGTTATCTATGAGTTCGTATTATTATTAGGCATTTATATTTTTGATTTAAAATGTCAATCGTTCTAACATTGTTGTTTTGTGTGGTATTTAGGGTACGTATATATACATTTTTTTACGCATTATTAACTAATATCTTTGAAATTGTTAAAATGTCACTTTTATTATTGAAACATTTTTATCTGGTTAAAAATGTCATCGATGTTAAAATTTTATCTGATTCACTTAGTTATTAAAATGTTACTTTCGTAACATCTTATCTGGCTGATAAGATAATTTATTTTATTTTTTTTTATTATTTTTTTTTATTTAAATTTTTCGAAGTGTCACATTCTATCCTTCTTAAAAGATGTTTCGTCCCGAAACATAAACTAAAGAAGATTGATCCACAAATGAATATCACATCTTTAATATTAAATTCTTTTTATTAAGTTTATGGAGTGTCACATTCTACCCCCCTTAGAAGATGCTTCGTCCCGAAGCATAAAATATCATCTAATATAATTTAAGAGGTATTACATTCTACCCCTCTAAAAACAAGGTTACGTCCCCGTAACCAAAATATTACCTTAGTCAAATAACTCCGGATATCGTTTTCGCATGTCATCTTCGGTCTCCCAAGTGGCGTTTTCGTCCAGATGGTTGGACCATTATACTTTAACCATCTTAATACTCTTCTTCCTAGTCTCGCGAGTTTTGGTGTCAATGATCTGGATGGGCCTTTCCTCATAAGTCAATGTTTCGTCCAACTCAACCACCTAATTGACTCGAGGTTAGACATGTTGAATTTTGATTTTGACAATCATAAGGTTACAATGTGTACCTCAGGGTTAAGTATATGTGATTCGTCGTGAACATACTTCTTCAATTATGAAAAATGGAAAACGTTGTGTACCTAAGTGCATCACATGTTAGTATTTGAGAGGCATTACTATTATATTTACTATTTTGAGGTTTTAAGGTGTGTCTTACCTTAGCCAAATTTGTGGGTAGAGCTAAACGGTATGCCAATCGTCCCACTCGCTCGAGAATATCATACGGGCCGATGAACCTCGGGCTTAGCTTTCCCTTCTTTCCGAATCTCATTACTCCCTTCGTCGGGGAGACTTTGAGTAGGACTTTTTCTCCCACCTCGAATTCGGCTGGCTTCCTCCCCAAGTCTGCGTAAGACTTCTCACGATCTTGTGCAGCTTTCATCCTGGATTGAATCAGCTTCACCTTCTCTATGGTGTCATGTAGGTATTCTGGCCCTAACACCACCTTGAATGTTAAGTCGCTCCAGTATAGTGGACTTCTACACTTTTGACCGTATAAAGCTTCGTACAGGGCCATCTTGATACTGGCGTGGTAGCTATTGTTGTACGAAAACTCTATTAAGTCTAAATGCTCGTCCCACGACCCTTGTAGGTCTAACATACATGCTCTCAGCATGTCCTCGAGTGTTTGGATTGTTCGCTCAGTTTGTCCATCAGTGGTTGGGTGAAAGGCTGTACTCAGCTTCAGTTTCGTCCCCAGAGCAGCTTGCAATTCCTTCTAGAATTGAGATAGAAACCTAGAATCACGGTCAGAAACAATATCTCGTGGAACTCCATGGTACTTAACTACGTGTTTGATGTAGGCTCGAGCTAACTCCTCCATGCTCCAGGTCTCTTTCATCGGGATAAAGCGAGCGGTCTTCGTTAACCGATCAACTATAACCCAAACCTTGTCTTTTCCAGACTTGGTTAGGGGTAAGCCCCCAACAAAGTCCATGGAGATAGAATCCCATTTCCATTTTGGCACCTCCAAAGGTTGTACGAGTCCCTTGGGTTTGCAACGTTCGGCTTTCACCTTCTAGCAGTTCAAGCATCGACCAACGAATTCAGCTACCTCTTTCTTCATCTTTGGCCACCAAAAGTTCTTTTTGATGTCTTTGTAGAGTTTGTCGCCTCCAGGGTGCACCAAGTAAGGCGTGTTGTGCCCTTCCTCCATATTTTTCTTCTTAAGTTCTTCACATTTCATCGGGACACACCACCTTCGTTTGTGTCGAATGCTCCCGTCTTCGTGCAGTTCGAACGGTCCATTTACACCATTTGTCATGCCTGCTCGGATTCTGTCCAGCTTTATGTCACCAGACTGCCCTTGTCTAATTTCGTCGAAAATAGATGGGGTAACGGTCATGGTGAGTAACCGCGTTTCCCGGTCTACCTCTCCGACATCCCGCACTTCCAAGTCTAGCTTCTGAAAGTCTCGATATAGCTCGTTAGGGAGGATCCATGTTGCTCTGCAGGAGTGGGTTGATTTTCGGCTCAACGCATCGACAACTACGTTTGCTTTCCCTTCATGGTACTGAATTTCCAAGTCATAATCTTTGACGAGTTCTAGCCAACGTCTTTGTCTCATGTTAAGCTCCTTTTGGGTGAAGATGTACTTTAGGCTCTTGTGATCGGTGTAAATTTTACATTGTACCCCATATAGATAGTGCCTCCATAGTTTTAAGGCGAAGATAACCGCTGCCAGTTCCAAGTCATGGGTCGGGTAGTTGACCTCATGGGTCTTCAGTTGTCTTGATGCATAGGCCACCACTTTGCCATTTTGCATCAATACGCAACCCAACCCTTTTAGGCACGCATCGGTGTAAACCTCGAACCCCTCAGTACCGGATGGTAGGGTTAAGATAGGTGCGGTTGTTAATCTTTGCTTAAGCTCCTGGAAAGCCTTCTTGCATTCCTCACCCCATATGAATTTCGTGGTCTTCTTCGTGAGGTTAGTCAAAGGTTTTAATATCTTTGAGAAATCCTTCACGAATCTGCGATAATAGCCCGCCAAGCCTAGAAAGCTCCGGACCTCCGTCACGGTTGTGGGTGTAGGCCAGTCTAACACTGCTTCGATTTTTGATGGATCAACGGATACACCTTCTTGGGTGATGATGTGGCCCAAGAATGCTACCCGATCCTTCCAGAATTCACACTTTGAGAGTTTGGCATAGAGCTGATTCTCTCTCAATGTTTGCAGTGTTATCCTCAAATGTTCTTCGTGCTCTTTTGGTGTCTTAGAGTACACCAGGATGTCGTCGATGAATACAATAGTAAACAAGTCGAGGTAGGGTCGGAATACACGGTTCATGAGGTCCATAAACACCGCAGGTGCATTTGTTAGTCCGAACGGCATCACGGTGAACTCATAGTGCCCGTATCTCGTTCGAAAAGCTGTCTTCGGAGTGTCTTTCTCAGCGATCCTCACTTGATGGTACCCGGATCTCAGATCAACTTTGGAGAACGTGCTAGCCCCCTTCAGTTGATCAAAGAGGTCATCAATTCGAGGCAACATATATTTGTTTTTGACGGTTGCTTTGTTCAACTCCCTATAATCGATGCAGAGTCTCAAGCTCCCATCCTTCTTCTTTACAAACAAGACCGGAGCGCCCCAAGGTGAGACACTCGGTTTGATGTAGCCCTTCTCCAACAGTTCTTCGAGTTGTTCCTTCAGCTCCTGCATTTCTTTTGGTTCCATTCGGTATGGTGCCTTCGAAATGGGTGCGGTGCCTGGCATCAGATCAATTGAAAACTCGACTTCCCTCTCCGGCGGCATCCCTGGAATTTCTTCCGGAAATACATCCGGAAATTCATTGACCACAGGGATTTGGTAAATGGTCGGCTCTTCCGATGTTAAGTCTTGGATCATGCATAAGTAAACCTCATACCCCTTCCGGACGTATCGTTTGACTTGGTGCATGGTTGTCAGCTTCACGCCCGGCTGAGATGTAACCATTTTGTAGGATACACGCTTCTTGTGGGGTCCTCTCAAGACCACCTTTTTTCATCACAAAGAATCCTCGCCTTATATTTTCCTAGCCAGTCCATTCCCAACACCACGTCAATATCCTCCAAGTTAAATTGGATTAGATCTCCGGGTAGTTCGGTATCGGATATGACTATAGAAACATTGGAGAAAACACTCCCGCAAGCTACAACTTTATTAGATGCTGTTTTTACATTAAGATTGAGTGTAGCAGTAGGTTCTAACTTTAACTTTTCCACAAGTTTTGAGGATATAAAACTGTGGGATGCACCCAAATCAAACAGTACATGAACAGGTGTGGAATTTACAGGGAAAGTACCTGACACCACGTCGTTGGCATTTGCCTGAGCTTGGTTCATGACATAGATTCGGCCTTGGTTATTGTTCTGCCTTCCCTGGTCCTGGTTACGGTTGCCTTCCGCTGGATGGTTGTCGGGGTTACCACGGTTACTGTTAACGTCATTACCCCCACCCCCGACTTGGCCATTCCTCTGATTGTGCACCCCTTGGTTTTGGCCCTGGGTTTGGGGCCTCTTCTCCTTCCGGCACTCATATGCCCTATGCCCCATGAGGTTGCAGTTGTAGCACTTTACCGGATTACCTGCACAATCTGCTCCAGGGTGGTTGTTCGGGCAGAGTTTGCACTTGTAATACCGTGTCTGGTTAGGTTGGTTTCTCCCCTGACCCTGGCTTTGGAATATTCTCCCGCCTTGATTGTTTTGCCTGGGCTCAGGGCGGTCAGTTCTAGCCTTCTTGTGTTGCTGCTCCACCAGCATTCTTTCGATCCCTCTTCTGTGCCTCCCTCTCCTTCTGGTGTACCATGTAGTACTTACCAGCCTTCCTATATGCTTCGTTCAGATTT